TTTCACTCCGGCTGCGAAGCCGGCGAAGGCAACGCGATGACGAGGACGTTTCCGCGAGGTCGATGCCGTGGCGTGCAAAAAAAAAAGGGAAATCGTTTTTCAATTTCCACGTTAGACCGTTCGCTAACGCGGATTTCCGTTTATCGGCTTTGACCATCTGAATTGATTGTCCGTTAATGGAATGGTATAAGAAACTTGAAATGAAGGTTTAATAACTTTTCTGATCTTGTTTAAAAAAAAAAGGCAATTTTTTGTTCATATTCAAAAGAGACTTCTTTATTTTTAAAAGACACCGCGCGCTCGGTAAGTCATGTAAGCCTTTCCGGGAATGTTTTTTTTTTTTTATTGTCTTAAAAACGCGGTACGACGATCTAAAGTTTCCGCAGCCGACACCTGCGCGCCTGTGAGAGGGATTCTGTAAGCGCAAAATCCACAGTAGTAGTCGGATGGCAGCTGCGAAGGACAGGTGGAGGAGTCGAATCGCAATTTCGAAATGTATATGCAATCCGAACCCGACCGACTTCCACTCGCTGGATTAGCGCGATTCTCCCCGCCTTGCTGCAGATGCGTTCCCGCGTGCGGGAATTTGAAGAGGACGAAATGAAATTCGTATAATCTAAGCCGTATTTCAAGAATTACACCTGTCGATTCGTTAGCGAAGCGCCATTTGGAATCGTTTATGTCTCATTACGGATTTTACAAACGAAATAACGACGCGGCGTATATATTTAAAATTAAACCGGATGGCAAATAGCTTCGCAATCGTTCGAATTCCCGCATTCGCAGAAACGGGTTTATAAATTATGAATTTTAAGCTAACGAGTTATAATAATCCTGAAATTAAATACAAGTGTGTATGTAGCAGGCAGCGGATACGTTGGCGCCATTGAACGAACTTGCCGCGATGCGCGCGAAACGTAAACGGCAATTAAACAGCTTCGCTGCCGACGAAATCGGCATCCCGCGCAGACGACGTCGTTTCTCGCGAGCGACGATTTCCTTCGCCGTCTCGATTCGATTGCTCCGAGCGGGCGAGCGAGCGGCGGAGATTCCCCGTCTTTAATCGAAGGCGGCGAGGGAGAAGCGTTCTCTTCGGCGAACGAATTACTGGAGATCGTAATAATCGGCGGTTTTCCACCCCGCGGGGCTCCCGTTCGCCCGTTCGGCGTGCTAATCCCCAGGTGCGACGGGGCCATTAGGCGACGCTACTGCGATAATAATAATCCCACCGTCGCACCGTCGTCGTGTCAGCATCGCGATGCCGGGTTTACAGTTGTGGCCATTAAACGGTGACGGAGATTGCGAGCGCTCCTTCTTCCCGGAACGCGCCGGTTTCTTATCCACCGCCGATGATATCCCGATTCGCTACAGCTTATCACCCGCTGATGCGACAGCTTTTCGCGGAAGTGAATCTCTCGCCCACCGGTGTTTTCCTCTCTCTTCCTGGAGAGAGAGGTGAGAGAGAGAGAGGACGGGGAGGGGCTTTGATGGGACGACTCAAGGCCGTCGTTCGCGCGGAGTTTAGCGACTCCACTCTCGCGTCATCGTGATTATGCCTTTCGCGACGTGCGAGGAGTTGCGATACGCGATACGATCGCCGGATGTAACGGTTCGCGAACGTGTTTTCCCGATTAAACGCGAGTATTATATATATATATGTACATATCTACTGGTGTGGAAACTGGTATAGATAGTTCGACGAGCTCGCTCGGCGATGAAATCGATACGATCTCCACGGTCTTCTCTCACGGATGGAACGCGACAACATTTCCAGATATCGTTTTGCCTTTCAACTATCTTGCTTTTGAAAAATTCTGCCTAATTACATTCCCCTTAACGCGTTAAATCGCATATATCGTGAAATGTTTACGAGTCGCGGCTATATAGCGAGGCTCAACGCGTCCCTCCGAGCGGAGAAGTCGTCGCGCGGAACGAAAAAAAAAAAAACACTCGCGAGATAGCGAAACGTCTGTCAGAGATTAGATTGCTAATTGAGCAGAGAGGAAATCTCGAAATCGCGAGGCGATTGTTGACCCGCATCTGCTCCCATCGTGCTCGATAACTAGCGTTAAACCGGCTATGTCGCGGCGCGTGTCCTTCTCCTCTTTGTTCGGCGCGGCATCGTGCAGGGAGACACATTGGCTTCGTAACAACCAGTAATTAGAACGTAGATAACAACTCGATCTGATAGAGAATGATCAGTCGTTCTCATTATCGCGCTCGCATTTGCCAACCTACATTCCAATAAGCGACCAGTGACTCTCACCTGCGATCGCGATTCTCGCTCTGATGCGTTCCATGACTCCTCCTTTCCTCCTCCTTGTATTTTAAGATTTCCGGTAATAAAACTCAGTCTAAGAATGACAGAGAAATTTTTTCGCACAAATTTTATAAGAAATTTTTAAAGAGAGTTCTTCTAATACTAAATCTAAAATTCATTTTCCGCACAACGATTTCTTACTATTGTACACGAGAGCAAGAAATAGTTGTGCAGGAAATGAATTTTAGATCTAGTATAAGAAGAACTAAAGAGTTCCTCGTCAAATTTTGTTGTGCGAAAAAATTTCACTGTCATTCTTGTTGCAAAAAAACTGTACGAGGAGGGTAATGTGGACACGGCATCTCGACTTCCGTTCCATTAATGACAGTGAAATTTTTTCACACAAATTTTGCAAGAAATCCTTTAGTTTTAATGCTAATTAAAAAATTCCTTTTCCGCACAACGATCATTTCTTGCTCTCGCGCCATGACGCGCGCGGTAGCGTCGCCTGGACGAAAAGACTGCACGAGTATAGGGTGGGAGAGGATATTGACGCGGCATTCCGACTTCCATCCCATTCCCGATCATTGCGCTCTGTGGGATACCGCCGGGTGATACAATGGCCACTAATGATGCTCACTTTGACGTCTGTCTCGAGCGCGGTCCTTTCGTGCCATCTGTCCCTTGACCCGGTGACCATCTCTCACCGGTTAGACCTGTCGCCTTTAATGGACCTCCGAAAAATATTTTTCCTCGGCCGCGTCTCTCTTCCTCTCTCTCTCTCTCTCTCTCTCTCTCTCTCTCTCTCTCTCTCAAGCGACGCACTTTCCCATCTTCGGACATAATATACGATCGACGTGCTTCCCACGCAAACGTTCTGGCTTGCATGCGCATTGATTTCCCTCTTGGTCGCTGCATCTATACATGTATCGCGTCGCCGAGCCTTCCTGTAGTTACGCATGCTTTCATAAAGAACATAGATGCGGGAACGAATATTCGTGTCGTTTGAAAACTGTTATGCACGTATGTATACTGCATCTAGGCTTTATATATTTCCGAAACGAGATCCGGGGACAGGAAAATGGGTGTCGCGTTCGTGACCGTTATCGGCAGTTAAAGCTCTCCGTTTCCGAGGAATGCGCGTGGCACTTCCTTGAGCGACAAGCTCTTTACGTAATAATACGCACAAGTGCTTTCACTACCGCTGCTCGAATTTAGGCCCGTGAGCATAGGTGCATTGCCCGAGCGAGTTCACTTTCTAGTGGTTGTTAGATCGTCGGATTACAGCGCGGGTTCGCGCTCGCGTGGGATAGCATTTCGCGCGTTCCCTCCCTCGCCCCCGCTCCCGACGCTCGCTAAATGTTATCCATATGATCGTACATGAGTAAATTTTTGGTATCTTTGTTTTCACACGGTATCGTAGAAATCGAAATCTCGCTTGACGAAACGATGGCGTGGGCTCGGGAAAATTACAATAATCGAAAAGACATCCTCGAAGACTGCATCTGGATGATTCCTTATTATCTAACTCGACTTCGATAAAAATACAAAAATGTCGAATTGCGCGAATAGCGCACGTAATTCTTTCGATGCTCACGCAATCTCGTGTGACATCAAAGCTGATAAGAGCATTATTACGTGTCTCGTGTTATTACGCGCGGGGATATCGTTCCATTAAAAATCTGCATCGCGACGATTTTAATCTATATCGCGTTTCACATTATACGTCTGCTGTGAACACACACAGCATGCATCTCGTTATGTAGGACACCCTCGCGGCTCTCCGCATATAATTGGCGGTAAGGTTTCGCAATCGAGTCGCGGGATTCGATATTCGCAATCAATCGTAATACTCCCGTTACGTTACGCGGAAGCGTTCAATTTCGCGGGTCAATCTGGAACGCCGATTCGCGGACGCAATTTGTTGTCCCAGTTCGATTTGAATTTACGACGGCGATACGCAGAAAAAGAAATCGAGACTTTAGATCGTGGCATTGCACGTCGCATCGTTGCTTCGCGCGCGCTTCGTTCTCCGCGAATGTTGTGCGACACGAATTGCGGATGTGCAGCCACCGTAATGCCTTAGCGCGCGGTGGTGTTCTAGAAAATAAAAAAAAAAAGGTAATTTTTCCGCGAAGAAAATCGCTCGGCGTGCCTCGTTCTCTGTAATCAGGGAAGCATAAGGGAGGAGAACGAAGCGCGTTATTAACGGAAAAAGTGAAAGCGACGTTATCGTTTTGCGGGTGTACGACTTCCTCGTGTGATATTGTGCTATTTGCAGCTCTTGCCTTCCCTAACGTCTTTATTATAGACGATGTCGGCCGGATGGGTATATACGAATTACAGCGATCGGCGATGGGCGTGCGCGGACGTACACGTCAATCGTCCATAAAGTCGCGATTACGCCTAAAGTTATGAAAGTTATGAAATTTAATTATTCGCTCGGCGAGACTGAAACAACCGTGCTTCGCGCAATTAACGTTTTAATGAACTTGTATACGCGCGCGCGTTGCGATGAAGGCAGTCGTCAAATTACGAAAATTTGCCTTATAGCGTAATCATTCACTTCTGCGAGAGCTTTCGTATTTGAATTACAAATGCCGCCATTGTATTTTATACGATCTATTACGTTGCGTCTTTGCCTCTCTCGGGTGTGTACCTTCGTGTATTTCGATTTTTTCTTACTGCGCACGCTATACGCGATATTGAGATTAATGTGCGATGTATTTTCTTCCTCCAGTGGTAAATACGCGACGGTGAGGAGATGCCGCGAGAGATCCAGCGGCAGGCAGTGGGCCGCCAAGTTTCTGAGGAAGCGACGGCGGGCCCAGGAGCTCCGAGCGGAAGCGCTTCACGAGGTCGCCGTGCTGGATGCCGCGGCCCATTGTTCTCGTCTCGTCTCCCTTCATCAAGTCTTTGAGACCAACACCGAGATGGTGCTCGTCCTCGAACTGTAAGTACAAGGACGTTTCTCAATCGCCTGTATTCTCCGGTCGGATCATCTTGAGCACGTATCCTTCGAATACAAAATAAATTTCATCGTTTGGCGTTTGGCCGAACCGTTTTTATCGTGGGTAGTAAAAGATTGTTTATCGTTTAGACCACAGTGATGTTCAACCCACGGCCCACTTGTGAATTTTTTGCGACCCGTCGACTCATAGTCGAAAATATAAAATCATGTTTTTATTTTATTTTATACAAAAACTGTTAAAATAATATTATGACACAGAAAATAACACGTCATCATTCTAATAAGCTTCCTGATAGGTATTGCAATAGTAGAAAGCCATACTCATTTGCGTATTTTTATTTTTTATTTGTTTTCACATGAATTTTGTTTGTACGCAATAAATTAAATATCATTATAATATTATAACATTATAACATTACAAAATAATAGTCATGCTGACGTCTCATTATTTGCTTATATGTTTATTTTCATTTTCATCTCATATAACCGTTATATAAATCTTGTTTGTACGCAATAAATTAAATTACAAACACGTGTTATTGTGGCATTATAACATGATTAGTTTGAAAAAGGTTGAACATCACTAGTTTAGATTATTCGTGCCGTAGTGAGGTAATGGAATAAAACTGTATGGACAACGACGTGTAACTTTCTACGTGTCATAACAGTTGCTAATCATTCAAAGTGGAATAAAAACGTAAACTCGTGAGCGTAACGTACGTCGCGTGCGCTATACGATCAGTCGTAAAAATTACGTCGCGCCGATTCGTCCAGGCGCGCCGTGCGTACGTGTGAATGAATTTATGGAACAAACCGCCGCGGCGCGAAAAAAGTATACGCGCTAAACGTAAATATTGTGCAAGTCGAGACAAGGTAATGTTTATTGCGACAGGGCTCCTGGCGGTGAGTTGCAAATGATACTCGACCGGGACGAAGTTCCAGAGGAACGGCAGGTCGCCAGATTGCTGAAGCAGATTTTGGACGGGATAGCCTTTCTGCATTCCCTGAACGTGGCTCACCTCGACATCAAGGTAAGTGTTTTCAAACACTCGAACTATACGTTTATATGGTGAAGGTGGGCCTAACGACGACCGTCTGGCGAAGGTGTGGCTGTTAACATCCAAAACTGCATGCGCGTGTCAAAGGACATACCTAAATATATCCACGGTTCAGTGGCTCGGTATCTCGATTTCTCTCCGAGAAAAAAAAAGAAGGATATTCGATTGTACTGTCAGTTTTGCAGGTTTTTTTTTAGATAATGCTTATAATTTTTAATAACGTTGAATAATAACTTTTTTATCTGACATTGAGTGTAAATTGAAAAATTATCGCGAATACGAGTATTTTGGGCAGATAATTCTTGGCGGTTCGTTGCTCGTAATAACGTCTATACGTGTCACGGTTTTATCGGCGACAATAAATTCCTCCCGGGTAACGCGTTTTCGTTTTTGTGACCGGAAGATTGGGGGAATAACCCGTGAAAACGCGAGCGAGATACTCCGCGTGATTCGCCTTACTTCGGTATATCTCCAGACGTTAAAAATAACAAGCCAGGCACGATAACGGGCGAAGATTGTCGCTCGTGCAAATAATTCTTATCTCGTTTTTCCGGTGCACTCTCGAAGGAGAAGCGCACTGCAGAGAACGGGAGGCGTCTTTGCCTGAGGCGTCTTTCGACGCGCGGCAGGTAACCGCGAATTATCACGATGGAAACAATAATACGAAAGAGTTGGCGATTCGGTCGACGCGATAAAAAATTTTTACGAAGAGCGATGTCTGGAAAGAGACGCGAGGAGTGCGCCTCCGAGTCTTATCGGTGAAAACATCACGGCGGGGAGTAAAAAGAAATGGTTCACCACGCTCTTTTTTTTTCTTTCTTTTTCTCTCTTTCCAAAAAGCGAATCTCGGTCAAAGACGTGTCCGGGGGCATCTTTATCGCGCCGAATCTCGGGCGAGCCGTCGCTAGAAAGAAACTCTCTGGCAAGGGAGCGACGACATTTCGGGCGCCTCTGGCAATTTCTCAGCTGCGGGGCTACGCGCGCGTTCCGTATCGCGGTCCGCACGATCGACCTAAATCGTTATGTAAACGCCTACGTGCGCGGCACGTTCTCTCTGCCAAATCGGCTGATCAGGGGCGATTCCTGCGCGCCGACGGTGTACACCTTGCGTGACGCGGTTATAAGTTTCGCAAGGCAGACAAACTTCTCGGCGTCTCCTGGCGAGAGTAAGATTGACATCCTCCTTGATACGCGTCTGCCACGTATCTTATTTTCGTTTTCGCGGAAATGTACGCCTACCTGAAAAACAAGGCAACGAACTGTGAATATAGTTGATTGTATCAAATTCGAGAAACGTATTTTGTAAAGTGAGAAGGGTATTATATTTCCTGTGTATTTCGGATGATCAATCGATCGATTACCGGAAATATATGCTTATTCCGCAAATTACATTTTTAAAATTTTTAAATTTGATTTATGAAGTTTTGGTTACGAAATAAAAAATAAGGAAATGTCTACCAACGAGAACAACTGTTTAGCTTCTCGATCGGCAAACGTGATTCTACCGGTGGAGCTGCGCGCGGACATTTTTTCACGCCCGCATTTTCGCACGTGTACACATTCGCACGTGCAGCACGCACGCAAATGCCCGCCGAGAGCGATAGAAAGAATATTTGAAATCGGTTTTGCGTTACCGTCCACGCCGTTATGTCACCTGACACTTTGTGGTGGAAGAAATGAAAATAGATCGGGCGCGCGTATCGCGCCGTGCAGCACTCCTCGATGATTCATCTAATCCCACGCGCCTCTCCCTTCGACGTTGCTGAATTCCGTCGTAATCCCCGTCGATTCCGCGACTCACGCCGGTCGCGCGATGTTTTTTTTTTTCGCGCGCGAGGTAGATCGATGGGCGAGGCATTCGGCTTATATTAAAGAATCGATGACACGCGGGCGCGAACACGTGCGCGGCCTGCGAAACGATGCAAACGCCACGAAACAGCGCACGGCGATGGAATGCCGCCGCGAAATGGGCGCGAATGGGACGTTTCTGTCCCACGAAATATTTTTGTATGCGGCGTCGAGGGCGTCTGTACGGAAATAGCCTCTCGCATTTCGCCGCCGCTGCTCGCCGCGATGACGCCGACGGCGACGGCGACGATGTGACGTTTCGCGTCAAATTCCCGGATCTCTCTCCCCTGCACGATTTTCCGTAGGACTAAAAATAATTTTTCCGTTACGGCAGAACCCCCCATTCAAGCGGCGCGATGTTTTCGTAAAAGTCGCGTAATTGAGCCGCGTGTCACGCTCAATCTCGCGACGCGCACGGGTGGTGGATTTGGTGACCGGGAATAACTGGTTTGACGCGCGACGCCGTGCGCCGAACGAGGATCCCATAAAGAACGGCAATTGAGTCGAAGACCCGGGTTTAATACTTTCGAGCGGGTGATCCTCGCGGGGGCTAAAAATAACTTGTTTATCGCGCCGAGGTCCCCATTGTGGCGATGATCAGAAATAAATCCCATTTTAACATTCGTATATGCCTTGTCATCTTATTAATGCATGTCGCGTGTCGCGCGCTGAAAATAAAAAGGCGACGAGCACGCAACGCGTTAATTCCGTCTCTGATCGGAGATTCGCGAGGGTTGCGACGACGACGACGACGACGACGACGACGACGACGACGACGACGACGACGACGACGACGGACGCCGCAATTTCACACGATGAGCAACTTTTATGCGAGCGTGTCACGGCGAGCGCGCGCGACGTCTCTCGCGTCAGCTGACAAGCAGTCTTTCCTATTTAGCGGCGAAGATTTGCAATTTGCGATTTGCACACCGCGCGCTCGCGTGCGCGCGTAGGTATACGAAGGTACGTGTTTATCGATTATCGGCGTGATCGATATGGGTGAGCCAAGGTAAGCGAGTGGTATTAATAATGTTCCGGCGGGGCGACACGCACCACAGCCTCTCGCGCGCGTGAGATTTCACAGACTTCCAGCCACTCGCGCTCCTGAATCTCCTTTTTTCAACGTGGCTCGCGTAACGACGACGGCAGTTATACAACCCAATTGCTTGTTCGGCTCTCGCGAATTCGCGTTAATCACGTCGATTTATTATTAACCGATAAATACACGTCGTTCTATCTCTCGTCGTTTTGCGCGGTTCTGCGAGATTTATATCGGTAACTTAGCGCCGACGATGATTTCATCAGTTGTATTTTTTCCACCGAGCAACGGCAATCGCGCCGAATATCGCACGTTCGATATCGACCTTTGCGGCATCTTATCGACCCTGTGCCGTCGCGATAAAGCCCGACGATTACGCATCGGAACGAAGTCATCCCGATATCGCCGGTGTTTTCAAATACGATAAGATAATTTCGCGCGTGAATGATGATACGGGCGCTATTGCGGTGCAACTACGCAATTTCGTCGTTGCGAACAATTATTTCGCGATTTTGTCACGAGGCTTCAAAAACTCGGCTGCAAAAACGACATTTTCGGATCGCGAATTCCGCGAGACACACGTCGATAATTAGCTCGAATGGATTGGAATAATACAGTCTCCTCTCGCGCCGATATGCAGTGAATCATCGGTTATTCGGATGTGCCTCCGATGGCGTTTTCAATTCATTGACCCGCGAGGAACGGCGGCGTTTATTTTTCGCGCGGCCATTCAAGAACAGCGAGAAAAATAAGCCGACCGAGGGGCTTCGACGGTTTGATATGCCTTGGAAGCCGGCCAAGACGCGCGCATCGGCTTTGCACATTGCGAAAATACATATGTCACGACGGATCGCGCGCTTTTGTTCATATCGACGTGTGACGTACGACGCATCAAAAAGCGGATGCGCGACGGAATTCTTTTAGACGTACGTTGCACCGTTGGCACACAGCAAATATACAAGGAGATGGATGGGCAGGTTTTATGTGGATGTAGCTGCAACGCCGATATTTATCCTCGTTTGTCCGACGAACTCGCGCGCAGTCGTTTTCGCAACGAGATGCAGATTTCGTGGAATTTTCACGACAAGAATGCGTTTCGAAGCACATTTCAACTGTTATGAAATGCGAATGCTCGAACGATCTTTCCTTTCTTCTGCCCCTATTATCTTTTAGTTTATTTGCTACGACAACGACATAATTAAAAAATTGTCACATTCTTTAGTTGTTTACGAAAAAAAAAAGAACAGAATATTAAGAAAAAATGAAAGAACATAATTTTATTTACCTACAATTAGTTATTACGTTAAGATTACATTTAAAATATTAATAATACAAAATTTTAATGATTCAAAACATTGAACTTATTTTCTAGAACACTTTGTTTTTCAAGTTGTGTCGTTGATGATAACAAATGAACGATTTATCAATATTTAAATCTTCAACGATTCTACAACGATCTTCTATACGATGATTGTACAGTGTTCGTTATTTTCTGCGAGCCTAATTCTGCCTGGCGGAATTATATTTTTCTCAAAGCGATTAGTCCTTGCGTTTATGGGGAAAAGGAATTTGAATGTTCATCCTATTACGTGTTACGCGAAACGTAAGATGCGCGGTTACCGAGCGCCGACCGAGAAAGGCAATTGGCCGACGAATAAGTTAACGAGCGCATTCGGGTTCATCCTAAAAATAACGCCGTGCCACGAATTCGCGCGATATGCCGCGGCCAAATATAGATTTCGCGGTTATGAATGGAAAAATGCACGCGAAATTCCTTGGCCGGCGTCCAAAGGGGCCTTCTTGGCCGGCGGCCACGAACTTTCGGGCGCCGGTGCGTTCTAAAGCCGGCCTCACACCGTGCTAGTTCACCGCCTGCTCGAAGCGGAGCAGCTATATCCGTCGACGCGCGCGACGCGAGCGCGAGAACGCCGTCGCCGCGCGCGCGCTCGCGCGACGAAATAACTCGGCGTCCGCCGGCCGTGCAAATTCGAGAATTTGCACGACGGAGCCGCGTTAATTGCGGTCTCCCCATGTGTTCCCGCGCTTTCACAGAGCCGCGGACCGATTCCTGATGCTCCGTTTTGCA